CAGAATTGCGGCCTGTATACGACAAACACAAAAATTGGGCATGGCTCTGCCCCTGGGGGTCAGGACATGCACCAAAACCAATAGTTGACGTCCTTAGGCTATAATGAATACATGTGCATATGCCAAGTTCCAAGACGATGCATTAAGAATCGTGGCCTGTAGGCAACACACAGGCACACAAAGAAAAATCGGCATGGCTCTGCCCTTGGGGGTCGGGCAATCACTAAAAATCAATGGGGATCATCCTTAGGGTATAAGGAGAATAGGTATGTGAGGTTTCAAAAGGATCTGTTAAGAATTGCAACCTGTAGGTGAAACACAAGACACATAAAAAATTGGGTGTGGCTCTGTCCCAGGGGGTCGGGCATGCAGCAAAAATAAAAGAGGTCATCCTTAGGGTATAGGGAATAAGTATGAAAAGTTTTCAAGGCAATCGCTAAAGAATTGCAGTCTGTAGGTGACACACAAAAAGAAGATAGGTTGCCAGGCAACAAAACATACGCCCACAGCAGCTAAATCGTCCGAGCGGTCGTCAAGGGTTGTCGCATATTTATTCTTTTGTAGGTAATTGGGAGCTTTTACAAGACAGTTCCATACAGATCAGATTATAAATTTTGTCGTTTGAGGGTTTGCAAGGTTCTACAAACTGAAACAAGAGTCTTAACTCTGGAAGTAATCTACAGGAATTATTGAAATTTGACAGGCTTTTTCGTTTTATTAATTTAAATAATGCATATAAATTTCATACAGATCACATTTGTCATTCCAACGTTCACAATCGCCATAACTCTAGAAATTATTGACGGAAATTGCTGAAATTCAATAGACCTGTTTCACAAATGTAAATGATGCATATAAATTTCATACATATCGGATGATAACTATTATCAATCGAGCATAAACAAGGTTTAACAAAGTGAAACAAGAGCAATAACTCTAGAAGTAATTATTGTAAATTGCTGAAATTCAATAGGCTTTTTCGTTTCACTAATTTAAATCATGCATATAAATTTCACAAAGATCGGGTGATGACTTTTTGCCTTAGAGCGTTCACAAGGATCAATAAACGGAAATTGCTGAAATTCAATAGGCTTCTCCTTTTCACTAATCTAAATAATGCATATAAATTTCACAAAGATCGAATGATAACTTTTGGCGTTGGAGCGTTCACAAGGATCAATAAAGTGAAACAAGGGCCAAAACTCTAGACGTAATAAACGAAAATTGCTGAAATTCAATAGGCTTCTTCGTTTCAGTACCCTAAATAACGCATATAAATTTCAGAAAGATTGGATGATAACTTTTGACGTTGGAGCGTTCACAAGGTTCAATAAAGGGAAACAAGGGCCATAACTCTAGACGTAATAAATGGAAATTGCTGAAATTCAATAGGCTTCTTCGTTTCACTAATTTAAATAATGCATGTAAATTTCAGAAAGATTGGATAATAACTTTTGGCGTTAGAGCGTTCACAAGAAATTGTGGACGATGGACGGACGGACCGACGGACAGGGGCGACGGCAATATACGTCCACATTTTAATGTGAGTGATAAAAATGGGTGTGGCCCTGCTTTTGAGGGTTGGGCATGCACCACAAACAATAGTGATGATCCTTAGGGTATGAATGTGGACGTATAAATATGTTGATCTAGAGAAAGATTACAAAAAGTGAACAGACAGAAAGATGGAATGTCATGAACAGGGATCTGTTTTAATAATAATATGTATAATTATAATGCACTTAATAATCCATCCATATACACATGCTCAAACCACATTGGCACTAACAAGTTCTGAAAATCCTTACTATCTGTAGTGAGTGGTAATGTATGTTATCAATAATCGTATGTCAGCAACAATACCACAGAACTGCTATTGTATTGCTAAAATGATCAATATTAATTGTGACCATCATTACCACAATCAGCTACTCCTGAAATTTGATGAAAATCTGTCAACAATTTAACTCTGTAGAGTTAATGATGATATGTCAGTGGCAATAACCCTGTAACTACTTACAAATCAACTCCAGAACTACTTTTGCAATAATGCTCAAATTCAATAGGGATCATTTTTATTTTGATACAAACCATGTCTTCAATATTTATAAAAATCAGTCACGAACTTAACTCTGAAGACAGAGTAACAGAAAGTATGGGCAAAAACCTGTAAGGGCAACAACAATATACAACATTAGTATGAATATTAATATAAATGTGAATCTTCATTTGTTTAAATGCCCTTATGTGTTGATTAATGATTAACTCCTCAATATACTTCGTTTCGATGATCGGGGGCAATAATTGCATGAAGTACAACCATGAATTACGTTCAAGAAGCCTAATAATTTTTTTTAAATACACATGCACACTGATTACAAGAAGTTGCACAGAATGATAGATGAACAACACCAATGGTGATGGCAATAACATATGGGCCTTTGAAAATGGTGTGGTGTTGGAAAAAGGAAGGTTAAAATGTTGTTGACTACATGCAGTTTGGAAAAAAGCTCTTTGCATGTATGTACGCCTCCAAAATAGCAAATATTGTCCCCAACATCTTTGTGGAATCACTTACCTTGTCAGTCTCATAATGACCTGTGTAAAAACCAATTTTTTTTTAATTTCTCGCTTCTCAAATTTTCTTCATAACAGGACGACAGTTTTAAGTCACGCTTGGGAAAACAAGAGCTACTTTGTTGGGTAAAACAGACTGCCTACAGCTGAATATTCTTAATCTTCACATAACTGCAAAAATCAACCACATCATCTAACACACAACTTTAGTGACCAAACCCAGAACTGATTTTATTTCCAAGGTAGCAGGCCTACTCCTGTTCTAGAATGCTTCTTTTAGGAGCACAACATCAAGAACTCTGAATACATATTATCTTTGTAAGCCTTCTTGGAATACTTAGCAATTCTTGTTAACAAAAACTCCAGTTGCTACATCTGATTCAAATTGTAGGCGGCCCTAGCAAGCGATGATGGTAAATGACATGAGATTCATGCTTGTGACAGAGAGATAATATTAAGCTTATTACTTTAATTCTGGTTATCATTATCACGAAACCAGAGAAATGTCAGCGAGGATAATACAATGACCTATCAAAGACCAAGCTTACTCTGACATTCTAAAACATAATATTTCATCACCAGTGTTATTTGGTAAGGCACCAATATTTCAAACATAAGGTAATTCCCTTAAAATAATTATTAGCTATTATTTAAAGAACTTCCTAGCGGACAAAATTGTAAACAAATTTAATTCAGGAAGTCGGGTACTTGTCAGACCCTACACCCACCAACAGCATTGCCACCCATCCTAAATCTACGATCATTGTCAAGAAACCCCACAGAAAACGCTTTAAACACGACTGTACAAACTTTTAAAGTAAAGATGTGAATGGAATAATAACTGTGGGCAAATTTATAATGTGAAAATCAGACAGTTCTTTCTTCTGGCACAATGAGCAAATCTCATTGAGTTTTATTTAAAAAAAAGTATGGTGTTCACAGGTTTCAAACCAGTGAATAACTCCAATTCATCATCATCATCAACATATTGTGAATTACAATATGGTTTATGAACAATCCAACCAAGTTCTAATGAGAATTTTTTCTGAATGACATTCACAACATACCCTATTAAATGCATCACACCAAGTCATTAAAAAATACACAAAATTATTCTGAATTGTATTTATAGGCAAAATGTGATCAGTAATAAGACAAGTTATGATTCAGAAATCTTGAAATTTGATATTGTTTCAATACCCAGCACTGTAGCTGGTAATCGGATACTCTTATTGCTACCACTTCCTCCCATGATCCTCTTGGTGCCAATCATTCGGACATTCCTCCTGCCTAACGGTCGATATATTTTGTTAACGCCACTCATGTAGTACTAATCAGTTTACTGACTCAAAAACCCACCACCTCCCCTACACCGCCTCAATTCTTGGTATATACTTATCACATGTATATAGTGTTATGTATATATGATCCTAGTGTATATGTCGTTGCATGTTGGTTTATATTTTAATGCTGCTTATTTGTCCATTTTATTGTTAATTTGTATTACCGTGTATATATACCATTGCCCAGTTTATTGTTATTTTGTATTGCCATGTAAACTATAATCCCAGACAGCACACCATATTTGGCACAGATATGGCCCATATCTGGCAACATGTGGCAAAATGATTGGGCAGACATGGGCCGGACGTGGCCCAATCAGAGCCAGATCTGGCCCAGATTCGCTAATGCACACGCCCGCCTTGCATGGCCCAGATCTGGCAAACAGCTGGCAGGCTTTGGCAAAGATATGGCATGCCACATGTGGGCCAGAGATGGCACAATTGGCCCTTGTCTGGGCTATCACTGGCCCAAATATGGCCCACACATGAAATTCATGCCATGCCAGATGTGGGCCAAGATGGCAACCCAAAACCATACGGTTATTCCCTGTCCTATCCTCTCATAAACCGAGGGGCATGGCCGTGGTCTAGTGATTTAACACTTGCTCGTGAAATTATAAGGTTGGTCCTCGAGTCAAGTGGCTTGGTTTCGAATCCCTGCTTATATGTGACAAGGAGTAAGATAGCCTGTCCAACCTCGTCAGTTTTCTCTGGGACCCAAGGTTTCCTCCCACTCCTAAAGCGAATTATTGAAATAGGGTTGAACCATGCTACTCAGTCCCAAAATGACCTAGTTTGTGTGAAGTGGACATTACACCCAATTTCTCTCCCCATCTTAAAATCTCTCCAGCCAAACAGCCATGTTTTTTCTTCAAGTTCAATTTGGGACTGAAAATAGTAGAAATTAAGGGTATCTCCCATGCAGCACAAACATACATTAACAACAATGCAAATTTTTCAGTTATATAAAATTTATTGATTTATTGTTTCATGATCATCTCCCCCCCCCCCCCCTTCCCTCTCCTGCAGCTTTTTCATCATCTCCTCTTGTCGTTTCCCCCCCCCCCCCCATTCCTGTCTCCAACCCCATTTAACCAATTTTTGACAACATCTTTAAAATTGTTCTCCCGAACATCTTTGTGGTGGAGTTTAATCACACCTGCAATAAATGCAAAAAAATGTACATAATAAAAAAACACATATATTTATTTTTTTATATCAAGCATGGTGAAGAGGTATCAAAATGCAAGTGTAAAAGTGTTTGTCAGATATCTCTACCATTCTTGAAACTTAATTAGCTAGTATTGCTCTGCCGTTCATTACAAGTTTTGTCCGAAAAACTGTTGCAAACATATTAAAAAGAAATAAGAATGTCTCAAACTGTTTTAATGTTCTAATAATGACTTTGTATACGATATGGGAAATCGGACAGAACCGAGTAAATGCAGATAAGAAATGTAAAATGTCCCAAGATGGCCTACGATTTAATCATACAATGAGGTTAAGAAACGAAATAAAACAAATTCTCACCAAATATCACTTTGTACAGTGCTAAATCACGGAAGGAACCCTTTCCTTGGTTCCCCACCCCACTCAAATTGAAGCAAACTGCTGCTTTATGACCCACCGTCTCCACCAAAATCCGTCGGGTCTCAATTTTCATGTCATCGGCCATGTACATGCTTATATATCTCACCTAACAAAACAAATTTGAGTCTTATTATTTAAGTTATATATTTTCTAGTTTCAAATCTTATTTGAATTATTACTTAAAAAGTTATTAACATGACAAGTCCATCATCAACTCTCTGAGTCGGCGTATGACACCAATTTTCAGTAGATTAGATACCATGACCATTTAAGAATCGAGAGACTCGATTGTCAACTATTTTTGCCACAATCTACGGTACATTGGGTCAAAACATCGCACAGAATAAAGTAATTTGGCTGAAATATTCTATATTTTCATTTTGCATTATCTAGGGAACTATTATAGGAAAAATAGTCAGCTCTTTAAAGATTTTTACATAATGCATATTTAATGAGATGTACATCTTGAGAAAATTTACTATCTGAAATCCGATATTTTTGCAGACCAGGTCATATTGAAAGGATGAAGTACCAATTTAAGGTACTTGATAAAATCGTGAAGGTAAATAGGATAAGGAAAAAATTACAGGTCCAGAAACATTATTATAATGCCATTAATGCATTACTGAAGTATAAGAATGAGCTGTTTGAAACTTACCACCTGATCCTTAAATTCTTTTTCCTGGAGCCTTCTTTCTAAGACATGCATGCCCTCCTTGTCATTGGAAATATCCCCTCTTGACGTGCATGTAAAGGAACCCTTGACTGTGGGAATGGAGCCGTTTCATTGCTTGAGGATTTAAAAAACGATAAATTAACTATATTAATACAACTTGTCAGCTATTTATTCTTGGATTGCGGTAAGGGACATCAGCATCAAATTTCATGCCTGGAGTTTCTTGAAAATAATCCACTGACCTGGTATCACATAATCCATTGCACTGGAAGTGCTAGGCATTGGAGACAAACATGTATTTGAAAGCCTTGGTGACACATGTGCTGAATCCCTGGTGCTGGAAAGTGCAGGCGTTGGTGAAAACACCCTTCGATGGCTAGACTGGTGGGGACGTTCAGCTGGTTTGGGTGTCACTGAAAAATTGATAATTTATCTCAGATTTTTGGCAAAAATTGACAAAAAGTGTTTTGATGTCTTTCTTAACAACAGGTGTAGAGCTTTTGTAAAAGATGGCCGGTTGTACGTGACAAGGAGTAGAGTCGGCTGTCCAACCTCGAGGATTTTTTCCGGATCCTCCGGTTTCTTTTCACTGCTAAAGACCCCTACGTGCAAGCGAATTATTGAAATAAAATTGAACCATGTGTTAGTCCAGAATTGACCTAGTTTGTCTCGAGTGGACGTTAAACTCCATTTCTCTCTCTCTCGCTTTTGTAAAAGTGAGAAAAAAAAACTTACGCAAAATAGACTGACGTTTTTCTGGGGGCTGCGGCAATGCTAACTTTTTTGATCTTTTTTTTCCTAGGTGGGGTACATGTATCATCTGAATCTGAATCCGAGCTATTTAAGCTCCCATCATCATCCTCTGAAGCTGTAGCATCAAACGGCTGTGTTTTACTGAAATGGGATAACATTGCTAGAATATATGCCTATATATGTTTTACTGTTTTCAAAACCAAGTAATAACAACACAACAATTTTATGAATCAGGAAATTCCCTTTCAAGTATACATACCAATTGAATGAATTAATGTATATAAACATGGAAGAAGAAAATGTACTAACCGTTTGCTGCGGCATAATCGACCCATCGCTTCAGTGTCTGTTGTGGCGCAATCACCTTTCTTCTCTAGTTTTCTAAGTTTATGTAGGGCCGTCCCCCAATAATCTGTGATATATAAAAAAGAAGCAATAATCGTCTGTAAGCCAAAGGCATTCTCTATTTCCTAATATAAGCATCAACTTTTGATATTAAACAATGGCCAGTATTTCATTTCAAACATTAGGGAAAAATACATAAAACATGGTGTTTTTTTTTGTAATTTTGAAGCCATGATTCACAACTATAGAATAATTCAAGCTCACACTAATAGCAAATCGTTAAACATTTACTAACCAGTCCTTGCCCAAATTTTTTGGATCATATGGAATGTCCAGGATCCAGTCGGAATTTCCAATTTTCGGGCAGCAGCTTGGGTTTTCAGCAATTCTGTGTAAGGAGGCCAATGGCAAATTTGTTGTCTTTCTCAATCCAGTTGTATGCAACAATAAAATTCCCATCCTTAAACTGGACTACCAGGTATTTCATGACGGTATTAGCATCAGGCATTCTAATATTGTACAGTTGATACTAATTTAATACTAATCTACAATGTATGATACAAATACTAAAACTAATCAAGAGAATAAATACTATCTTGAATTTGAAAAAAATTTCTAAAGCAGTCTTTAATTAAATCTGAATAACAATAGCAGTTAATGAAACTGATGCACCAGTGGAATAACCACAAACTTTTCCTTATGTCTTACGTTTTTGTAGGGTAGTCTGACAAATTTGCAGGTAATGTTTGTAAAGGAAGCATCAATATATGAACCTGTGAGACGCGAGACCTTGTAAATATCAAGGTGGGATGATGGTAGTGGTTCTTGAAAAAAAACAGACACAGCACCAAACGGCTCAAAAATCAATTTGATGTCTGAGTCCAACTTCACAATATTTCTTATTATGCCAATTTTGGTACCAACTTGCACACAGTTGTCTGAGTCCCTGACTGAATAATGCAGAGATTTCCAAGTGATGTCAGAAAATTGTGAATATCCACCAAATCCATAAGGCAGGGGGCCATTGTTGTGCTCTTTCCATGGGGAGCTCAACCCACTGTTTTCTTTTAGTTGTAGGTCTTCCTTTTTGCGTTTTCTTTCTGACAGTCTGCGAATGATCTGTGGCAAAGGAGATTGAGGTTTCCGCAACATCTTATTCAGTTTACCCAAAAAGTTTTCAAAACTGAAAGCCGAAAAGCTATCAAGGGTACCATGCCGCTGCACATCATCTGCCAAATGTATGATATTGTGAACATTGTAAACTAACAGGTTTCTACCGTAATGACCACTGAATTCAGATACAAACTTAAGCAGAAGTTGCCTGGAAAATTCACAGTATTTGATATAATGAGATGGGTTGGACATACAAAATATAGCAACATACAGAAGTAAAAAATGAGAATACATTTCTGCGGGAAGGTTCTTCTTTAAAACTACAATCCCACTGTATAACAAAAACTGGCGAATCTCGGTAGCCTTCCATCTGTCAACCTCATACAATGACCAACATTTTCTGGGAAATTCTCTCGGAATATAGCAATGAAGACTGAGCATAATAATCTTTACTTTATTTGCACTAATTCGACAGACACCTACAGGGCCTTTTTTCCACAGCCATATCAATCGTCTGGCATCCCCAAGGTACACTGAATGCATTGGATCCAGCACGATCTGCGACACTAAACCAAGCGACAACTCCTGAGGGGAGTTGGAATAGGTCCATGGTGGTCTTCATCTTGCATTTCATCAAAGCTGACATCTGTACGAAAGGGAGAATCAACACAGGGCAAAGTGACTTTATCATACCACTCTCCTCGTTGAACGCATCTCTCGCAACTAAAATATGCAGTGTGACCCTTAACCTGTTTAATAAAAGCTCACACCGGTGCATCACAAATGAAACATGATATGCCTACATTCACTGTCCTACTGATTCCTTCAAGATAAACACCATGTTGTTCAATCCCTTTCATATCACTGATAAAATCACTTAAGTATTTGTTGATATCTGCAGGCTTCTGTGTTCCACTGTATATCCCAATAATGAAAGGTGGCAATATCTTTGGCGCAACAACTCTGCATAAAATTGGCCAAAACTGAGTATTGGTACTCTTGAACAATGGTAATCCATCAATGTTGAACTGAACCTCTATTCTGTCAGTCTCCAAAAATGTTTGGTCACTTAGAATGGACTCTGAAATGCCCTTACAAAGACCAAAGTGGTAATATTCACCTCCCGCAATTTTTTTTAATGTCATACACTCTCCGAGTCTCAAGGAGGGAGCTAGGATCTTTTGGTAGACACATCTCAGGAAATTTGCCCCAAAGTATAGTTAGAAGTGCCCTCAAAGCAGCCTGTGATATACCGTAGTCAGTGCTCCAAAGAGCAAGTTCATCTGAGAATTTTTCTTCTTCTACTGGTTCACATTTGTCAGTGTGACTACCATTTGATGAACAATGAGACGAAATTGAATCAAATGAATACCAACTGTGAAAGCTAGATGTATCACTGGCAACACTAACAGTATCACTATGTTCATTTTCTGACCCTTGGTCTCTCACTGATCTGTCTTCCGTCTCTGAGGTTGATGCCTCAACATTCTGGTTTACATTTACATATTCAATCAAACGCTCGTCTTCACAATCACTACTTATAAATGAATAATTATCCAGAACTACATCGTCACCAGTGTTGTTAGTGGATCTATCAGTTGGGATTACTTCAGGAAGATTTAGGTCATATGTTTCAGTGGCACTAGAATCAGGAGTTTGAATAACAAAATGAGCGTCCTGTAACCACTCTTCTACTTTCTGCATGTGCTCAGCCGACGACCGCAAAATCTGCCTGCGATCTGCCCAAAAGGACGTTCCACTTCCATCACGATTACGCTTCATTAGATCTACTGGTTCTTTTTCTTTTGGAAAACTGGCATAAATATCCTATGTTAATAATTGTTGGACGACGAATTCTTACTTACATGTAATATAGAAGTGAATAGAACTAGAATTTAGGTGCAGCTATATAAGATCTTTCCGGTATTCCGTCTTGGATTCTGTCAGAACTTCTACTAATGGCAATGGTTGGTTCTTTGTCTCAGGTTTAAGTTTTTGCGGGAACATGTCCACACTGAAGGATTCCAATCAGAAATAGATCGACTCATCGACTTATTAATTTTAATTTCTGACGCATTAGTCATTTTTTTTCCTTAACAAGGAAGTGAGTTTTGAAATTATCAGGGCATTCTTGCTTTCGCCTCCGCTGATCACGTGGCACCAAGTCAGCCATGCCATAGATTAATAGCCATGCAGTCTCAGACAGCGGTGCTATACTACGTCACATACAATTACGAATATCTATTTATAGTAACATTGCGAACACGACCAAACTGTTTAATTTACTAATTTTCATCACAGGAAATAATTTTTTGAGACAAAGTGATATAATGTCTGCCGTAAAGAATTGTTAAACTAAACATAATTAAATCAATTACTTGGTAATAAATATTTTTTTAATGTTGTGTAGTAGACCTAATGATGCAAGCGTAATTTAGCCTGCCGCGCAGGATGTCCCCCCACTTCCATTTTTTAGAATTTGATATTTGAATATGCTTATAAAAATGTGATTTTAGCAATGATATTCAATTCTTGTATACTTGTGACGGTAAAGATGAATGGAAAATGGTACGATAAATGAAAGTAATGAAAGATCAAGACTAATGGAGAATCAGTTATCCAAATATAATCTAATAATAGAAATTAAAACGCAAATACATATTGTGGATAATTAATTTTTGTATTTAAAACAAAAATTGAGAATTAGGCTACATAAGAAATTAAAATTCTTACAAAATTTAGTGTATGTAACTATGTCAATATATGCATTTTTTGTATTGCAAAACAAAAAATATTTAATGCACAAGCTTAAAATTATATTTGAATTTGTGATATTGATAATAAATTCAAGGATCTTGGAATAATCTCATC